CTTTTATCTGATTGAAATAAAGACCATGTATTCCAGTTTTCTGTAGGGTTTTTATCATGAGCGGGTGTTGGACTTTGTCAAATGTTTTTAATCCATCTGTTGAGATGATTGTGTGTTTTTTGTCCTTGGTCCTGTTAATGTGGTGTAGTATATTTATGGATTTGCATATGCTAAACCATCCCAGTATCCCTGGGATGAATCCTGCTTGGTCATGTGGTATAATCATCTTGATGATTTGCTGCATTCTGTTTGCCAGTTTCTTATTTAGGATTTTTGTATCTATGTTCATTAGGGAGATTGGGCTGTAGTTCTCTTTCTTGGTTGGATTCTTCTCTGGTTTTGTTATCAGGGTAATGCTTGCTTCCAGGAATGAGTTTGGGAATATTGCTTCCCTTTCAATTCCATTAAACAATTTGAGAAGTAGTGGCATTCATTCTCTAAATTTCTTGTAGAATTTCTAAATGAATCCTTAGGACCTAGGGTTTTCTTTGTTGGTAGTTTTTAAGAAATTACTTCTTCAACTTCATTTACTGATATTGTTGCCTCTTCCTCTTGGATTATTCCTTTATCAAGTATGTAGTGACCTTCTTTGTCTCTTCTGATCAATCTTGGAGTGAAATCCACTTTGTCTGCAATAGAATAGCTACCCCTGCTTTTTTTCTGGGTCTCTCTCACAAGGAGTATTGTTTTCCATCCTTTGCCTTTCAGATTGTGACTTTCTCTTTGAGTTAAATGTGTTTCTCATATGCAGCATATTGTTGGATCTTGTTTCTTGATCCATTCTGCCAATCTGTTTCTTTTGATTGGTGATTTGAGACCTTTCACATTGATGGTTATAACTGATGTATTGACTTATCCTTGTCATATTGTTTTCCATTTGTTGATTCCCTTTCTTTCCCTTCTGTTTAATTGTGTGCCTTGCCTGGTGGATTCATTCTATTGGTATTCTTGGAATTGTTGACTTTTTCTAGAATATACTTCAGAACTTTTTGGAGTGCTGGTTTTGTGGTCATGAATTTCTTCAGGTGTTCTTTATCATGGATGTATCTTATTTTTCCATGCCTTTTGAAAGATATTTTTGTAGGGTACATCAATCTGAGTTGGAGGTTGTTTTCTTTTATAGTTTGAAATACTACACTGCAAGCTCTTCTTGACTTAAGGGTTTGAGTTGAGAAGTGTGCTGTGATTCTGATGGGTTTTTCTTTATAGATGATTTGTTTCTTTATCTAACAGCTTTTAATATTCTGGTCTTTTGTTGAATTTCTAGAATCTTGATTATTATATGCATTGATGTAGGTTTTTTTCCTGATCAGGATCATTTGGAGTTCTGCATGCCCCAGTTCTCTGTATCTCAAGTTCTTTTTTCATGTTTGGAAAAGTTTTCTGCTATTACTTCTGTGAATAGGTTTTTTATGCCCTTGTGTTATTTTCTGATTCTTCATTGATTCCTATTAATCTTATTTCCAATTAGTCTTGTTTGCATTATCTAGCAGCTGTTGGATTGATTTTTCATGTTCCCTTTCTGTTTTTAAGTGGTCTTTTATTTGATGATCACCAACCACAAGCCTGTCTTCTAGATCTGATATGCTGTCTTCACATTGGTTGACTGCTGCATATACTTTCAGTAGAATTTTTAATGTCCTGTATTTCTATTTGAGCCTGTCATACAGAATCCAGTTCTTTTCTATGTTGAACATTTATGGTTTCCATGTCGAACATTTATGGTTTCCATGTCTTTCCTAAGCTCCTCTATTTTTAAAAAATTTATTTATTCTAGATTCACTGATAATTTCCTTTATTATGGTCATCATCTCTTTAATTATCTCTGTTTTGTTTTTGTCAAGAACCTTATTGATCTGTTTTGTTACTTCTGCTGCCATCATTTCATAAGATTCAGCTGGCAGGTATTTTCTTTCTTCCACCTCAATGCCCCCTTGATTTGCCTTGGGCAAATTAAGAGTTACAGGTTACATCTTGTTTCCACGTTTTCCCATTTTCTATTTTTTTGTGAATTTGTTTTTTGCATTGAGGCTTGTAAATTGCTTATACAGTGGACCCTTGACTTAAAAATTCAGTCAGTTCCCGAGGGCTCATCATAACTCAAGTTGATTGTAAGTCAGCACACTTGAGATCTGAATGTTTGTCTGGGAACACACTGTAGATAACAAGAGGCAGATGAATCTTCCATTAACCTGATTAACCCAAGTTGTTCATATGCCATGCTGGTCATAAGTTGAGGGTCCACTGTAGTAGATAGCTTTATTACTAGTATCAAGACCTTTTTAGGAATTGACAACTTTTCAGAGATGTCTTGTAAGTGTTGTTCTAGGAGTTTTATAGTTTTGCATTTTATGTTGAGATCTGTGATCTATTTTGAGTTGTGTATATGTGTGTGTGTGTTTTTGTGTGTGAAAAGTGTAAGATCTGTGTATAGATTCTTTTTTTTTTTTTTTTTGCATGTGTCTCTCCACCACAATTTGTTGAAGATGCATCTTTGCTTTTCTGTCAAGGATCAGTTGGTTCTATTTATGTAGCCTGTTTCTGGATTGTCTGTCATTGGCCCATTATCTCCTCTTTTCCGACACCAGACTGTCTTGACAACTATCCCTTTATGATGAATCACAGTCCCTATTATTCTGAGTCTAATTGATACTGTCTCTCAATCTTTTGTTTTGTTTTGCCTTTAGTACATCTTGTAATTTTTTTGTTGAAATCCCAGCATGATGTCCAGGTCACAGGTGCTGGTGTGGAGGCCTCCTTGTCAGGTTGTGAGTGTTCACATCCCATGAACTGGGCTCTGTCTCTGAGTGAGCCTTGGTTCTGGACTGTGAATTCCACATGTGCCTCTTAGTCCCTGCTCACAGGAGGGACAGGATGGACACCTAGGCTGTCATTAGGTGTTTCTCTTCCCAGTCAGTCAGACTGTGAAATCCAGCAGGTTAGGCCCTGCTGAAGTAGTTCCTCCTGAGCATATCCTTGTCAAGGAGAACGGAAACTCTCTAGAATTTTGTCATGTCTCATTTCCCCTCCTCTATCCAGAAAAGTCAGGGGATTTTTCTCCAGAATTTATTTTGTATTTATTTTTGACTTTTATTAGTATATGTTTGGAGTACATAATGATTCACTGTAGGGGATTGGTACATGTGCATAACACATTTAAATTCTTCTCTTTTTACCCCCTCCATCCACCACCTTCTATTTTTCCAGCATCAGATGCATTTATTTACCTTATAAAGTTAACTGTCATATATATGGATTGAAAAAACCAGTCTAATAGGTCAAAGAACATATAAAACATGTAAAACAGTTGTCGTAAGGCAATGTACAATTTTAGATACGTTGTCTGCTTTGGATTATGATACCTTTTCTTTTCTTTCAATTTTTTCCTATTAGCTGTCTTT